GTTCATAAGCACCTCTGGACCCGCGCTTCGACAGGCCCTGAACGGCTATTCACAGGGTTCAGTCTCGAGTTATGTAGACTCTAGACCTGTGAATGCCGTTCTAGGCTACCACCACACCGGACATATGACGACGACGGAGCTCTATCTGCCTCGGGAGACCAGAACAACAATAGCCCAACTTCGTTCTGGCTACTGCAGCAGGCTAAACTCCTACCTGAGTAGGCTAAATGCGGATGTGCCGAATGAATGTCCAGCATGCGGAGAGACCCCTCACGACTCGGAAACATCTCTTCGCATGCCCGGAAAACCCCACAACCCTAACGGCGTCGTCGCTGTGGATCGACCCCATAGAGGCTGCACGCTTCTTGGGGCTGCCGTTAGTGGAACTCGACGACAATGACTGAGATATCAACCGCTCTGGGCGGGGTTGTTGTAGCCGCTACAACAACAACAAACCGAAATTTTCATACTCCATATCTCTGGAATTAATCATGGTAGAGTTCTGGAACTTGGTATAGAGATATATGAAATCCATCGCATACTCTTGGAGAAAANTGTATGGAGATATATGAAATCCATCGCATACTCTTGGAGAAAAGTTGAAGCTATCGGAAAAGGGGGCGTGGCACCTCCCATACAAACTGAATATTTCATACTGCATATCTCTGGAAGTGTTCATGGTAGAGTACTGGAACTTGGTATTGACGATATGAAATTGATCGCATACTCTTGGAGAAAAATGTTAACTATTTCATATTTCATATTCATCTTTATTCAGTCTATGATGTACAATCTTACAGACTAGAAGTAGGCTAAAAAGTATTAACGGTGACTAGTATATGCACAATTACGGTACCTTATCGAAGGCTTTAGAAAAGTCTGTATAAATGGTGTCTACCTGCGAGCCCTCTTTGAAGGAAGAAACACAAAATTTTGAAAAAGAAGCTAAATTAGTGACCGTTGAACGACCAGCTACAAAACCATATTGGTGGGGCTCAATCATTCTTTTGGCAAGAAAAGAGAGTTTAAAATTTATCACTTTTTCGAATAGCTTTGAGCAGATAGACAGTTTCGAAATAGGCCTATAATTTGTGATATCGTTTCTATTTCCAGATTTAAAGACTGGGGTTATAGAGGCCATTTTCCATCTGTAATAAATAATCCAGTCGAAATTATACGTTGAATATATGACATAAAGGAATACATAATGATAGACTACATCGTTTAACGAAGTGGGCACAAAAACCATCAGAATCACATTTCAATGTCAGAGTTAGGGTAGACATGGCGTAAGTAATGTCAGATGTCGAGACAATCAACGAGCCGAGATCTAGGCGTTGGGTCGGCCAGTAATTTCGTGGTAGATTTATAGAATCACAGGCGAAATTCGAGCTGAAAAATTTTGCAAAAAGTTCCACAGTATCTGGTAGAGATTTCGAAGATTGACCGTTAAAATACATGCAAGTCGGAATATTAGAACTGCCCCGCTTACAGCGTACGAAATTCCAAAAAGCTTTTGGGTTGCCTTAAAGTTCAGATTCAAGTCTCCTAATGTACTGGTTATGAAGAAATTTATCAAGAACATTAAACTTTTTCGCATAGTTAAGGTATTGCTCTTTGAGATGAGTATTGTGAATATTCGCCATATGGCGCTTGTAGCATTTATTTCTCTTATTTTTCAGATTTTTTAGAGTGACAGAATACCAGGGTAATTTATGAGGCTTGGAGGGAAAAGCAGCCAGTTGCTCAGAGAAGACTTCAGACATAATGCAATGAAAAGTTTCATAAGAGGCATTAACATCTTTTGAATTGAAGATATCACAGCAATTCACGTTATTTATAGCCAGGTTTATGGCGTCGTAATTTTGATTCACGAAAATTGTAGGAAATCCTATTATTTTGCCTTAAGGGAAGCTTATCAAAAAACTCTAAAGAAACAATAAGGGGATTATGATGCATATCAAAATAACAGATCGGAGTCTTACATTCAGAGAGATTAGATATCAAATTTTCGTCTACAAACACTAGATCTAATAATTTTGATAACTTATTGAATATGCAATTAATTTGCGTAAGATTAAGGCTAAAAAGACAACCAATAAAGTTTATTTCATGCGAACGAGTAACCTTGGTAGGGGAAAGGCGCCCCGAGTTTTGAAAGCATGTCCAGTTAATGCCAGGGAGATTGAAGTCGCCAAGAATGCAAAGATTACAATTTCCATTACTTTCATAGATGTGTGATATTCTCTATGTGATAGTTATATAACTCATCTGAACTGTTAGGTGGGACATATGATACACAGATAAACAAAGAGCCGAACGAGCCAACAACGCGCACACAAAATTTGTCAATTAAAGTATCGTGGTTGAGCTATTCAAAAAATGATGACCTTAAGCTACGCCTTAAAGCAATTAGTAAACCACCCCCTTTGAAGTGGTCAGTTTTATCAGCATCACGGTCTTTCCTATAAGTCTGGAAAATATTGGGATCAAAGTGTTCTTCACTCAAGAAATTACTATAAAGCCAAGTATCCATAAAGATATACATATAGGTCATAATCCATACGTGAAGAACAAAGAAAGACTTCTTTAGCTTTTGTGCGCATTCCACCCATATTCTGGAAGTATGTATTCAGATTTTTGCATGTATATTCGGCATAAGACTGTATAACACTATTTGGAACTTCCTTGATTAGCTTCTGGTTGAAAAAATCGAAAGGGCCGCACAATGATATCAAACGGCCACATATTTGGATTTAAGATGTTGTTGTAGAGGGAAGATATCACACCAATGTTAAAGTTCACGCTCCGAAGACTATCGATCTTTGCATGTTTAGATACATACGCAACAACGTTTTCCTCAGATACAGACGGATTAAAGGAGGAAATGTGCAACCATTTCTTCTTAATGACCACCTCGAGATCTGTATTATTATTACGCCCATGAACAATGTTTATGCGTTTGGGCCAATTTAAATTTCGGGCAGCAGCCCAATCGCCACCATCTTCATTAGCGGTCGCAATAGCATCATCCGATTTATCAGAACTTCGTTCATGTATGTTGCCATGTGTAACATTCATACCACTTGTGGTTGACATTTTACTAACAGCTGAACAGCTAACAGATGAAGATTTAACAGCAGCAGAATTATAAGATCATCGGTGTTGATTTCCGCAACAGCACCGGCAGGAGACCTAACGGAGCGATTTCCATTAGATTGCATGGAATTAGTGCCAGCAGCGGCAGCAGCAGCGTAGCTCATATCGAGTAAAGATGCATTAGCAGCAACAACAACATTAGCGGTACACGGGGTTGATGGCTTCGTGGTGGTAGTAGTAACAGCAGGTAAATTGACAGTGCAATCTGCCATGAGGCCACCAACTTGACGCACAGTATTAGAGCCATGCGAAATAGTATTAGTATTAATATTAGTATTAGTATTAGACAACAAAACAGCATCAGCGAACGACGAGCAAGATGGTCTAGTAGAAGCAGTGCTGAGAGACAGCAGGTGTAGATTGAAGAGCAACAGATGACAGCCATGTCAAGAATGATAGAATACTAGATTGCGCGCATCAGAGGATTTTTGAGAATAACTTTCGTGTGACGTGCAATTGCGAGAGACAAATGCCAAAACGTGAGCAAGAATGGAAGAAGAAAAAATGTTGCAAGCAAAACATAAACAAGTTGCACAAGTGTGGCGTCATACACACAACGATTCTGTCAAATTCACTGAGAGAGGAATAGCGGTACCGTGATGGGCGCAACCTCTATTTCTCTCAATCGTGCAGCGATGTAGGCGCAGTAACAGAGGTGTATGTGCTATCGTTAGTTACAAGTGTATTGACAGCTGTAGCGATTGTCGCAGCAGAATCCAAATGAGCGGGAGAGATACCGTTAACGTTATTCACAAACTGTGCCCTTGGCGAATTAAATGCATCAGAGACAGCAGAAAACTCAAAAACACCAGGCGAGGAACAATAGTAGTTATTGTTGTAAGAAATATTAGAAGCAGTTTTTCTGGAATTTAATTCCGCAGCCATCATATCAGCATTCAGTTATTTGCACTCGAGTTGTTGTTGGTCGAATGCAAGGAGATTATTATGTCTTTTATTGCATCAAATTGTTTCGATAAATCTTTGAATTGAGCATCAAAACTGTTTGAAATAAGATCAATACTAAGCTTTTGAGTTACCACAACTGCATCCAGAGCCTTAACGAGTTTCTCTGGCATGACAACACACTCATCACAAAGATATAATAGGTTACGTTTAGTTTTGACCAAATTGAAATCATATTCAGAACCGTCTTTGCAGCAAACACGATGAAACGTTTTTTTTACAAAACCCATTACACGGCAGCAGATTAGCATCAGATCTTGAAAAGGCTTTAGTACATTTTCCGCAAAAGTTCTCCATTACGAAAGAAAAGATAATAAAATAACAGAGCGAATTAAAAGCACGTCTACACACACCGAACACTTGTTATTATTCTATTATTAGAGAAGGGGGCGTGGCACCTTCCATACAAACCGCATATCTCTGGAAGGGTTCGTGTTAGAGTACTGGAACTTGGTATTGACGTAAATGAAATCGATAACATACTATTGGAGAAAAAAAGGACCTATTTCAAAAGGGGCGTGGCCCCTCCCTTTCAAACCGAATTTTTCATACTGCATATCTCTGGAAGAGTTTATGCTAGAGTATTGGAGCTTGGTATAGAGATATGAAATCCATGGCATACCCTTGGAGGAATATCTGAGCTATTGGAAGAGGCAGCTTCCCTACAAACCGAATTTTTCAAACTGCATATCTTTGGAAATGTTCATGGTAAAGTACTGGAACTTGGTGTGGAGATATATAGAGGGCGTGGTACCTCCCATACCACCCGAATATTTCATACTGCATATTTCTGGAAGCGTTCATGGTAAAATTTTTGAACTTCACTCACATACAATCACGTACTCATGGAGAAAAATTTTTCATAATTAGTGTCTCTGGAACTGTTCATGGTAGAGTACTGGAACTTGGTATGGATGTACTATATATATGAAATCAATCGTATACTTATGAAGAAAGATTGGAGTTATTGGAAAAGGGGCGTGGCACCTCATATACAAACCGAATTTTTCATACTGTATATCTCTGGATATGTTCATGGTACAGCCTGGAGCTGGGTATGGAGATATATGAAATCAATCGCATACTCATGAATACAAATTCGGACTATTTGAAAAGGAGGCTTGGCACCTTCCATATAAACCGAATTTTTCATTATAAGTTTTCGCCACATACTGCGGAACTACGTTGTTCTTGAAGCCGTGCATTTTGTATTTTTAATTTTGATTTCATATGGGCCCAATAGCGCTCGATCGTTTGCAGCTCTGGGCATTTAGGAGGATTGGCCGTTTTTAGTACAATGTTGATTCCATTTTGTGTATAAACCTCTTGCGCTTTTTTTGCACAATGGCTTATTGCCAAAATCGGATTCCTTTTCAAAGTCCTTAGAACATCCTTCAACACTATTTTATTTATAGTGCCTGATTTTCCGCCAGATTCCGCCTTTCTCTCAATGCTGCCATTTTTCTTGATATTTGACAATACATTTTGTACCGTCGACCTTCCAGTTTTCAGCAATTTTACTAACCGACATTGGGAGATGTGTAGATTTTGCATGAATTCGTCCAAAATCAATTTTCTTTGCAGAAGTTCTTTGCTCTCCACATCACTTATTTTTAAAGTTACGCATATGAAAATTAACTGTAATAAAAACAACGATTGCCAAATCAGCACACTAAATAAACGGCTGATCGAGTAGTCGATAACAAAGTTGTGCTATGTAGAGTACTGCCAGATTTCAAATGAAGCAGATCTTATCTCTGGAAGTGTTCTCGGTAGAGTACTGGAACTTGGTGTGACGGTATATGAAATTAATGGCATAGTCATGCAGAAAATATGGAGCTTTTGGAAAACGGGGCGCGGCACCTACCATACCAGCCGGATATCTCTGGAAGTGTTCATGGTACAGTACTGGAACTTCGTTGGAGATACATGAAATCAATCCCATATGCATGGAGAAAAATGGGCTCTTTGAAAATAGGGCATGGCAAAGTACAAACGTTGATCTATTATTTTTTATTGCCCAAATAATAGACATAAGAACGATTATAAGAAATGTAAACATAA